TAAACTACACTTTTAATGTACAATTTATTCTGTAAAATACTATATATATATATATTTGTTAAAAAGGTTAAAACAAGACTTCTTGTAAGTAAAAACAGAAGCATACATGCTCAGAAGAAGAGATATTTCATGCCTAACCTTGTTGATTTAAGTGCAAGGTCTGCCTTGATTGAATACTTCTCGGACGGTTAAATATCGCAGTTATCATCAAGAGCAAGATAAAAAACCGAGAGCAATTAGCCATGGTGGTGCAACCAATTAAACCTTTGTTTAATGGTTGCAAGTGAATGTATTGTGGTGCTTTCTCAATTCAATTCATGAGGGCTCCCTTTTATAGATGAATCAAGGATGGTCTTGATTTCTAGAACCTAATTATAAGTATGCAACATTTGGAACGCGTTTTGTCACTATTTCCTGGAGTCTTTTTAACATAGGACTACAGACCACTGGACCATGAAAGGGGATTTGATTAATTACAATTTGTATCAGAAATTTTACCACGGGGTCACTTTCGAATTGATTATTGTCGGCACGTTTTGTGCAGTTTCCCTGGAATTTCCTACCGTCCCTGCTTTTCATTTCAAAATTGATACATGATTAAATAGATGACTTAGTCAAATCTTGATTTTGTTGAAAATCAAAAATCAATTCATTCAAAAGTTTAAGTTATTGTGAAAGTTCAAGAATAATATTAACTTCTAATATACTCCTTCATATGCAATTACATTCTAATAATGCTATAACTCGACTTTAAAAATTAAGAAACAACGCCAGACAACTTTGATCAGAATGCTAAGATATGATTTTGTTACTAATTATTCTTTCTCATTTTAAATTTTACTGTGGAAGGATACAATACTCTTGGTCTCGGATGAAAAGTTAATTTCAAACCTTTTACCTAACTAAACTATTTTCACCCAATTTAGCTAAACGTGTCAATTGGGTTACAGTCTTTTAGCTTCCTGGTAAAATCATACGAAGCACAAAGAAACTTCTGAAATAACTCCCAAGTAAGTTCGAAAGAAATGATTGTCTTAATTATGTGGAAAATGGACTTGACTATTTTGCATTTTGAGGCACTATAGTACAAATTAACCTCATTTTTTTGCACATGCTTTGTTACCAAAATTCTAAAAGTACATAGAAAACTTTCACGGAAACTAATTTCTTTTGGTCAAGCGAAAATTGGACTTCCATCATATCCATCAATGAAATGCAAGACTTATTTTAAGGGAAAGTCTTGACTCATTCGTCAATAAACACAACACTTCTATTACTTGTATGAATATAATTAAGGATATAAGGGTTCGGTGATAATAACTTCTTCAAATAAAATAAAAAACTTTGAATTTGAATTGTATGATATATAACTATAATGAGATAAAAACTTAATAAAAAATAATTATTTTTCATTATATAACTTAATTTTATTTTTTTTTATAAAAAAACTACTATGAATGTGCAATACGAATAAGTGAAGCCATGTGTGAAAAAACTATTGCAAGAAAAACTGGACACAGAATGTTTCTTGCACATATTATGTATGCCATGACATAATAGTTATCTTAGCAATATTTAATTAACTTTTTTATTTAGAAAGTTGTGAGTGAAATGTTATATGCATTTATTTATTTAGTATCATATTATATTGTGTGTAATATTATGAAGAAATATATAATTTTATTTTTACTTTTATAGCATCTCCAAAATTTAGATGACCAAGTCAATGACTTAGGTAGTTTAGTAATAATTTTTTTTTACTGAAAGTAAAAAATCTTAAATTTGACTTGGATGTCCTGTGAGTGATGTGGGATAAGAGATGAAAGATAGTTATTTTTTATTGTGCAATCAAGATAAAAAAAAATTATATAACCAAAATATTAAAGAGAGTCTCACTCCACTTAATTATTTGTAAGACTTTATTATAAACTGAAACTTAGGAATAAGAGTATTCAGTTGGTTCAGTTGAATAAACAAATACATAAGCTTGGACAAACTCCTTTCTTTTATTCTTCAGCTGCATAAACTACCAGGACACCTTCAATCCCTGCAGTTATTTTGGTCCGAATGTGAAAATTTGAAACACACAAGTAGAAACGTATGTACATGTGCTGCAATACTTACTTCTTTATTTTTCTGCTTCATTTTGATTGACTGAGTCTATCTGCAAATGATCCATAAAGAAACCAAAAGCCGAACATATATATAACTATCCTTGGGTTTTCCCCCCAAATATTTGACCAAACAAATCTGAAAAGCTATGGTACATCTCAATGCCGAGGGAAACAAGTGCCGTTTTGCTGCTCCAACATGTCAATCAAATTTGCAAAATTCACAAAACTCATGAATTAGGCCTGAATTAATGAAGAAGGCAAGCAATATTTCAATGAAATTTTAATCTCCAAATAAAATTTCAAACTTACCTGCCTAGAACCCTCTTTGGCATAGCAAGATGATCAGACTGCTTGAAATAAGGATCATACATCTGCATTTAGATAAATACCAACGAGTAGAAACAAAAACTGAAACACATAGAAGATCTCTGCAACTATGCATTATTCTTCATAAAGTTAATCTTACCTCTTTTGGTTCCATCTGCAGACTCCTTGCATGGCACTGGCTGTTCACAAGCAATGTGAAGATCAAGGCCAGTATTGTGAGAAGCTGTGAACGAGACCAGGCCATTGTTTAAGATTTGTACTTGAACCTGGACTGAACTTTTGGGGAACTTCTCAGCATTTTTATACTGTGGAGAAGCCATGAATTAATCAGATTCCATGCCTAGGACTTGTAACTCACATTTGCAAGTTACAATCCATCAAATGTTTTCCATGGAAACGTTAGCAAAAGAAATCATAACTGCTTTTATACCATTTAGTACATTCAATAGATCCATTGAATTGGATAAATGAAGTTCAAAAGAAAACTAGAAAGAGCTTTTATTTATAGGATTTACTTGCATTGCATTACACTGGCAAAAGATTTTCTATCCTTTATACCTTATTGGATTAAAGAAAGAAAAAGCACATTTACTGATATACAGACATCTGTACTCAAAAAGGATGGAGATATCCAACAACAGGGCTTCTCACTCGATCCTTCATCGTACCCAGTCAGAGAACCAGAGATCGTATATGATATCTCAATCTTTGCTGTAACTTTCACCATGAAGGATTTCTTTTCCCCAAGAGACTTGAAAGAACACTCGGTTTGACATCAATTTCAAGCCCTTCTAGAGCAGTCACCACTGCTTTATAAGTCAACACGGCTGATCCCACGTTTCTTACTGTCCTGTGGAAGACTCTAGTCACAGATTCCCCAAGCTGGGTAGTAGACACGGTGAAAGAAGGGTAGTTCAGATCCCATACTGTTCCACTTGTTGCTTTAGAACATTTTGTAACATTTACAGTCCTAAAGTTTCAGTTTATCACCACTGTATACTATTCCGCACAGAAATTTAATGTAATCAATCTCCCCAGCATCATAGAGTAAACCAGGATATGGCCTTGGCAGGATTTATGTAACCTCCCCCATATGAAAACTCATTGTCGTCTATGTCCTTAGGATTCATGGGAAAAGCTGAAAAATACATTATACTAGTCCTACCACTTGTGAAGTTAAGTTTCAAGATTAGCATAAGCAAACAACTGAGGATGTGAAAAATGGTACCTGTTGTCATTAGAGCAGACTTAATGGCAGAAGGAGAC